TGAGAGCTATATCTAAATTGGAACCGATTTTCACCAACTTCAATAGGCTTCGTCCATGGGGCAAATAAATGAGCTGTACCAAATTTCATCCAATTCGGATCATAAATGCGACCTGTACTTTGTTGACAATTTTACATGTACATACAGACAGTTAGTCGGACGGACATAAATCGACTCAGAAAGTGATTCTATGTATATTCTCAAAAGGAACCATATATTTATCTTGTGTCCTTTTGCTTTATACAAAGACATTAAACCCTGTACCACAGTGTGATGAAAGGTATAAAAATACAAAAAATCTATAGGTATCATTATATGGGGGCTAGGCCTAAATGCGGGCCGATATAGCTATTTCCCGCACCTTACGTTCTACTTTTATATCTCCATATCCTCCGCAGGTAGAATGATTACAACAGAGTCTTAGAACCAAACCCAAAACGCGAAACAAATCAGATAAATACATATTTTAATATAAACAAGTGAAAAAGCGGTAAGTTCGGCCGGGCCAAACTTTGGATACCCTCCACCATAGATACACTGACAGGTACTAGAAATGAAAATATAGGGAACATACCAAAAAGTGAACCTGTACCGACATTTCTTAAAACGGATTATGTAAACCATAACATGAATTTCAGAAATTTTTAATGGATAATTCTACCCTCAGCCTTATGGCTAATGAGGGTGTATACACTTTAACACAGTGTTCAAATTCAATGATGGGGAATATCGGTCCACTCCTTCTGGAACCTCCTCACAGGGTTAGATCTAAGTGCGGCTATAGTTCATTCTAATTTACGTTCTAATTTTTTTATATCTGTATCCTCCGCAGGTAGAATGCTTACAACAGAGTCTTAGAACCAAACCCAAAACGCGAAACAAATCAGATAACTATTTTAATATAAACAGGGGTTATATGAGGACTACCCTAAAAGGGGAGAATATTGATAATTTTTGGGAGGGAGATTTGTTACCATATACGTCTACAAAAAAACACATTTCAGCGAATTTTCAGCGGAAATAAAATAATTAATATTGGTTCACTTTTTAGGGTACCATTTATCGGCATCTCCCAAATTTTGGGGAAATTGGGCACGATTTTCAACCTAATCAGCTGTAATTTTACATTTAGAGTTCTCACTGGATAGTATTATTAAATTCCTATTGGTGAGTATATGAAAATCGCAGAAGGAAAAAACTCGCCATAAGTCAAAGTTCGGAGATAAGGCGTGATCATTTATTATACCCTTCACCATACTGTGGTACAGGGTATTATGTCTTTGTGCATATGTTTGTAACAAGCAACAATAATCGAGATAGATCCATGGTTCCTTTTGAGAATATGCATAGAATCACTTTCTGAGTCGATCCTGTCCGTCCTTCCGTCCGTCTGTCCATGTATTTTTGTTAACAAAGTACAGGTCGCATTTATGATCCGATTTGGATGAAATTTGGCACAGGTCACTTAATTGGCCCAAGGACGAACCCTATTGGAGAAAAAAAAATTGGAGAAAATCGGTCCACGTTTAGGCATAGCTCCCATATAAGAGTACCCCCAATTTTTCGGTACTTTGAGGTTCTTGAGCGCGTTTTTTAACTGAATTCGCTGAAATTTGGTACTTTGAGTTCTTATTGGGTAGTAAATCTCCCTACCAAAAATTATAAATAAAGGTAAATTTTTTCGGATAGCCCCCATATAAGATTACCCCCAATTTTCGGTATTTTGGGGATTTTGATCGCATTTTTCGACCGAATTCGCTGAAATTTGGTACTTTGTGTTCTTATTGGGTAGCAAATCTCCCTACCAAACATTATAAATAAAGGTCCATTTTTTCGGAAAGCCCCATATAAGGGTACCCCCAATTTTCGGAATTTTCGGGTTCTTGGGCTCGTTTTATAACTGAATTCTTTGAAATGTTGTACATTGGGTTCTTATTGGGTACCAAATTACTCCACTAAAAATTATAAATATAGGTCCAGTTTTTCTGGTAGTCCCAATATAACGGTACCCCCAAATTTTTGGTATTTTGGGGGTTCTGATCTATTTTTTTTTTATTTTTCCAATTTCATTTTACTGGTCCTTTAAAAATGCGACGTCTATTAGGATACATATGTCGAATATACCCAAAGTGGTGAAGGGTATCATATAGTCGGCCCAGTCCGACTTTACTACTTTCCTTACTGGTTTTATATGTATTTTTTTTGTGATTACATATCTACATTAAAATCGAATAAGGTATTTTTTGGTAGAACATTTCGTCCTATTAACTCGATGCCTTGTGTGTCCTTTTCGTCCATATTTCATTGAACCGCAGTCCAATTATCAGAAGATGTGATTTTTAATTATCGCAATATTCTACAAAAATATTACTAATAAGATTTTCGGTGGGATCTTCAAAGACGAGAAATCGATATTTTACCGTTTAAATACTCTTTTCTCAGTTTTACTCTAAAACCCTATGTATGTATTTCAATAAATTCAACATACATTCGTATTATGTAGAACTGATTCGGATTCGTCCGAATTATTGTCTAAAAACATTCGAAGTTATGGCAAATACATCAAAAAAGTAAATAAATAAATTTCAAGGAAAATAGAAGCGGATATTCACATAATAAAATTGATAATAGAACCGGTTCAATAAATTCAGCACGTTTGTTGTCTAATTATCTGCATATTATATGTTGAAACCGGTTTTATTATCAAAATATCCGGTTAAAAACTTAAGAAAATCGGTTCTTTTTTCTTCGAAATTTATTTTTATATAATTTTTAAATTTTGAGGAAAAAATTTCAATGAAAAAAGAATCGGGTTTACAAAATTTGGAATCGGATATTCAGATAATAAAACCGGTTTCAACACCTATGCACCTTTTCAGGTTCTAATTGACTTAAGAATCTCCCTTCTAATAATTATCAATATCGATCGATCTTTGAATATAGATATAAAGGTCCTATCCGAATGTTTTATACTTATATTTTCAATATTTATAGAATATTTTCAATATTGGTGTATACATATTTCAATCAAAGTGGCTGAAATCCGGCATTTTGAAAAATTGCAGAAATTTTCTGGTGAACGATATCAAAAACAAATATCAGTTCGATTTATGGTTCCGAAATTAAAAAACAAATTTTTAATGGGGATTTTTCCTAAAATCTGCAAGATCCAAAAAGTGGACTGATACTGATAACGCATGGTAGAGTATAAAATCCTCAAACTACTGTAATTTAGATTACAAAGTTATATGAGGCTATGCCTAAAGGGGGACTAACATTGATTACATAGTGTAGGAAAATGGTGAATATTTTGGGATATCTAATTAATCTAATCACTATATTGAGGAGATGCCTAAATGTCTGCCGATATATTTCATTATCGTCATGTTTGAGGTTTCTTTTATCACAATACCTTCAGAAGGCGGAATGCTTGAAACAGATGGCTAAAAAGTCTTTGTAGGGTAAAAATTGACTATTCCCCGTAACGACTACCCAACCGCAACACACGGAACAAATCATATAACTATTTTAATATAAAAAAGGGGTTTATATGGGGACTACCCCTAAAAAGGGGTGAATATTAATAATATTTGGTGGGGAGATTTGTTACCATATACGACTACAAAATACCAAATTTCAGCGAATTCGGTTAAAAAACACGCTCAAGAACCTCAAAATTTCGAAAATTGCAGGTACCCTTATATGGGGACTACCCGAAAAAATTGACCTCTATTTATAATTTTCTGTGGAGAGATTTGCTACCCAATAATAACTGAAATTACTAAATTACAGCCAATTCGGTGAAAAAATCCGGTCAAACCCCCCCAAAAACTGGAAATTTTGAGGTACACTTATATGGGGCTACCAGAAAAAGTGGACCTATATTTATAATTTTTAGTGGGGAAATTTGGTACCCAATAAGAACCCAATGTACCAAATTTCAGCGAATTCGGTTGAAAACCGCGTTCAAGAACCCCAAAATACCGAAAATTGGGGGGTACCCTTATATGGGGCCTACCCTAAAAAATTGACCTATATTTATATATATTTATAATTTCTAGTATAGTGATTTGCTACCTCAAACTACCGAAAATTGGGGGGTACCCTTATATGGGAGCTATGCCTAACCGTGGACCGATAAAGCCCATCTTCGAACTTGACCTGCCTGCAGACAAAGGACGACTCTATGCAAAATTTTGGCGATCTATATCAATTCGTTTAGAGTGATTACAAAAGACAGACGGACACACAGACGGACATGGCTATATTGTCATAGAATTTTACGCTGATCAAGAATATATATACTTTATAGGGTCGGAAATGAATATTTCGATGTGTTACAAACGGAAAAACAAAATTAATATACCCTCCATACTATGGTGGAGGGTATAATAATATCTTTTTATATACATGCATGAAAAACCTTTGCAAAATATTTAAAAAAGTCCAAGCTAGAAAATCCTTAAAACAACATATTTTTTAACTTAGCTTGAAGATCATTTGAGAAATTATTTTTCTAATTTATTTTTTAATTTCTTAATAATCTTTAAAACATCCACTCCTGCTAATTTTATTTTGTTTACAATATAAAAACGATTTAAACATTCCAGCTCTGTTCACTAAACACAGCTAGCAAGCCTACATATATAAGCATTTTCTGGCTGCCTATCCATGTCATCGGCCCTATGATAACAACACACAATGTATGTATGTATGTCATGCACGCACATGACTCAATGTGTGACTGCACACATTTCTTGGCATTCAACAGCTGGCTAACACATTTCAACATTTCCAACCCTGTTACTTAGTGAGCAACTATCAGACATTCCGTTTTATTAGCTATTCGCTTTGTGTGTTTCGAACAAAACACTTTGGTTTAGGGAAAATTTCATTTAGAATGTAGATTTCATGTTGGCCGCCACAGTGATGTTTAATAATAATTCTCATTCACTCTATTTTACCCCTGCCTAATAGCGTTCAGTTTGTGCCGTGGATCTTTACTCTGGCTTCTCTTCAGTTGTCGAATAAATCTTTCGCCTTTTACTAAAGATTTCCGTGGAGAGGAAGCACTCTAATGAGTCTAAAATAAATTTTTTGTCAGGCCTAGAAACCTTTTGGGTTTTTGGGCCATAATTGAATCAATTTGAAGAATTAAAGTTAAAAATCCGAATTATGTGGGATATTTGATCTGTATACTTTGATAAACATTTTTTTTAATAAATCCCAAAAAGCGTGGATTTTTTATACACTGTGGTACAGGGTAGGGAAACGTAGTTGAGAGCAAAAGTCGACGATTTGATTTTTGCCTTTGACTAAAAAGTCGACTATCCGATCTTTCCATTTTGGCAAACATGTTCAAAATCGATTTTCGACTTTTACCAACTAAAGAAATATCTACTAAAAATTTTTCAACAGATGAAAAAGTTCTGGAATGTGTAAGTTTTGGACAATTTCGGTTTTGTGCTAATAAACCAAGAATTTATGAAGAAAATCGAAAGTCGAATTTGCGATTTTCTCAAAAGTCGACTTCGACTTTTAGACTTTTCAATACAAAAATTCGATTAGTCGAAAGTCGACTACCTGTACTAGGGATAAGTAATATAATTTGGCATAGAGTACTGAGTTAGGTGCAGAATGATGTGCCAAGTTGCCAAGTTTGGAGAAAATCGGTTTAGATTTAGATATAGCTCCCATATATAGTTTTGTCCGATTCTATGTAAATGGTATACCAAAGTCCGTATATATATTTCGATTTGCACGAAATTTGGCATAAAGTACTGAATTACGTCAAGAATGGCGTGTGCCAATTTCGAGAAAATCGGGTCAGATTTATGTGTAGCTCCCATATATATTTTCGTCCGATTTAAGGTAAATGGGTCTCCAAAGTCCCTACATATCTTTCGATTTGCACGAAATTTGGCATATGGCACTGAATTGGGTCCAGAATGATGTGTGCTAAATTTCGGTTCAGATTTAGATATAGCTCCCATATATATTTTCGTCCGATTTCAGGTAAATGGTGTACCAAAGTCACTATATATCTTTCGATGTGCATGAAATTTGGCACAGTGTAACGAATTAAGCCTAGAATGATGTGTGCTAAGTTTCGTGAACATCGGTTCAGATTTAGATATAGCTCCCATATATATTTTTGTCCGATTTAAGATAAATGGTGTACCAAAGTCCCTATATATCTTTCGACTCGCGCGAAATTTGGCATAGTGTACTGAATTGAGGCCAGAATGAAGAGTGTCAAGTTTCGAGAAAATCGGGTCAGATTTAGATATTGCTCTCATATATATTTTCGTCCGAATTGAGGTAAATAGTATTTGAATAAATAGTGAGGTAAATAGTGCAAATTTGACATATCGTACTGTACTGAGCCTATGATGACTAACGTGAAGTTTCGTGAAAATCGGTTCATATTTAGATATAGCTCCCATATATAATTTCGTCCGATTTAAGATAAATGGGGCACCAAAGTTCCTATATATCTTTCGATTTGCACGAAATTTGGCATAGCGTATTGAATTATGTCTGGAATGATGTGTACTAAGTTTCGTGGAAATCGGTTCAGATTTAGATATATATATATATATATATTTAAGGTAAATGGTGCACCAAAGACCCTAAATTTCTTTCGATATGCACGACATTTGGCAAAGCGTACTGAATTTAGTCTATAATGACGTACGTGAAGTTTCGTGAAAATCGGTTCAGATTTAGATATATCTCCAATGTATATATTTGTCCGATTTAACGTTAATGATGAACAAAAGCCCCCATAGATCTTTCGATTTGTACGAAATTCGACGCAGCGTATGGAATAAAGTCTGGAATGATGTGTGCTAAGTTTCGTGAAAGGCGGTTCAGATTTAGATATAGCTCCCAATAACACCTTTGTCGGATTTAAGGAAAATTGTGCGCCTATGTCCCTAAATATCTTTCAATTTCATGTCAATGTTCTTTCGAAAAGGCGACGTCTGTTAGGAGACCATGTAGAATATTCCCAAAGTGGTGAAGGGTGTCATATAGTCGGTCCAGTCCGACTTTACTACTTTCCTTACTGGTTTAAATCATTTTTTTGGGTGTCCACAAGAGGCGTGGATTTTTTTAAATAAATATTTTTTCAAATGCTAAATTTTTATTTTTCTCTGACTCTTTAATTAAATCCCCTTTAAATTACATTCTACCCCTAACGGTATGCCAGAATAACCTACTCAAAATATTTTTTTAAGCCTAAAAGTCTACATTTTCAAATAAAGCCAAGGATTTACCAAACGCACACACACAGTAAGGTAAAACCTCACTGTGCAAGTTTGCCAAGAACTGGTGAGGTCTTGAAGTGTAGTAACCATATTTGTCACCTTCTTTTCAAAGAAAGCCTACACATAGGCAATGGGAAAAAGTAGAAGTTTTTTTTGTTTTGGTTCCCTAGGATGAAAATGTCAATGCATTCCCAGTCACAAAGTAAGATTTGTCACAGAAAAAAAATAAAGTAAGATTTCTTCACACCAACTACCAGCAGATGAAGTCCGGGAGCTGTTGTACGGAACCTCAATGGAAAAACCAGAAGTGAAAAAATTCCACACACACATACTCATGTGTGCATCACAAGGAAGCGGTGTTTTTGTTTATTTTGCAAAAAGTATAACATACACTTGGGCGTCTACTTTAAAGTAAATACTACAAATGCGCACTTGTAGTAAAAATGTGCAAGCACACACACACGCACACACACGAATGCTCAACTACATTGAAGAAATGCATATTCACACACTCATTTAAAAATCAACACAGAAATGCACTCCAACCTCCTCACCAGGACCTCTATACAATGCTTCCAGAATTTGGCAACAAAAATAAGAATTGCTCAGAGAAAGGGTTGAATGCCGATATGCAGGACTCAAAAATTGCATTTCCACAGAACAAACACACATCTACTCACACGTTTTCATAGTCATTCTCTCTCCCTCTCTTTTTTGCTGATGGCCGGTCATGCTCACACATTTGTTGTTTCCCACTGACATTTCACATTTTCCAAATTGAGTAATAAATCTTTATTTTCCTCGACGAATATCCATAAAATCGTCCTGCCGAAACTCACATAAAATCCTGGAGAATGCAATTGCATTTTAAAATTTATTCTCTCTCCCACTCTCTCGTTTTCCATGGCCTCACTCATAAATCATCTGGGCTTTGTTGTTGCTGGCGCCTGGAAATATGCAGCATTTTTATTCGCCAATGAAATGAGAGCCAATTCTGGAATTTTACAGGCCTCCAATTGGCCAGCGACAAATTAAGGGAGCTTTTTATGCGCCTGCCAATTAGCCAACAATTTTATGAAAAGAGAGCAGGATACTGCTCTCTTTGCGTTAAGGCGCACGGTCCCTAAAATCCTTAGGGATCCCTACAAAATTCAAATAACCCCCACTCACTTTTTGTTCTGAGCAGGTCTGTGACTTTCAGGACGACTTAGTGGTGGTGGTGGTTTTTGTCATGAATGGATTTGTTGATTGTTTTGGAGAATTTCTCAAATGCTGTGGTTGGGGCCACTTACACACACATACCTGTTGTATGGAGATCTCTCCTGGCATGGGATGATGATTGCCTGTCCATGGATTCCTCTACATAACATTGGCCCACACACATGCAACAGTAAGTTGCCGGCTTTAATGAAGGGCTTTTTTGCTTTTGTTGTTGTATTTTGTTTGTTTTTTTTTCTAGAGGGGTTTGGGGTAGGTCTGGGTGGCACATTACCAGCTTTTGTTTGTTCGCTGACATTGATGCAGTGTAAATTTGTTTCAATAGGCCAAACAGTGGCGGCAGAATTCGTTTTGTTTTTACTTTTATCCAAGATCCTCTGGAAAGGGTCTTTGTTCATTGGAAACTTTTTGTAGAATAAGAAGGACTTCAAGCAATAGAATGCTAGTAAACAATATTCCGATAAAATGTATAAACTTATTTTATTTTTCCTCCCTATTGAGGCTTTGTTGAAGGTGTTCAACAATTAGAAATCTTGTCATAAGTTCCCCAGTCCATTCAGTCATCTAGAAGAACTTTTTTGCCCAAAAGAAATAAAAAAGGTTTCTGTTTATTGTAAATAACCTTCAGATTTAGAGCTCCATTGAGGTCTCGTAGAAGAAGCCATTTTTACAGAAGGCATGTCTGAAGGTCAACTGACCATAGAGGTTAATTGAGTTATCCAATGGACTTAGTTTCTCAGAAGTAGTGTAATAACGGAACAACGTCTGACAAAATGGAATTCAGTCAATAGAAAATTCGCAACGGGAGTCTCACCATTTTCGAGTTTCCGTAGAACTACTTTTACTATCATAAAGTTTTCAGACCACGAATATCTACATATGGAGTTGTTTCCAGATAAGATATATGGATGGGTCATTTGTCTTTAATAGAAGACCGGTACAGGATCTTTTGTAAATTAAATATATATATATGGACAGAAACATAAATATCTTCCGAAATGACTAGGAATGATGTTCTGTCAATAAAAAAAAACTGTAAACTTATTTCTGTCAAAAGAAGACCTGTAGATGGTATTCTGTCAACACAGAGACTCTTCCTATGGAATATTTAAAAATGTCAAAAATAAATTATCTGTATATATGTATATCGTTCCTTTTATAAAATCGCATTTGTAGAGTTTCAGTAGAAGGACTTCTTTCCAACAAGAAAATTTAGAAAGTCTTCTACTGTAGATGTCTTGTACATTAACATATTTTCCACCTGAAGGAATTGATAAGGTCTTCTATTTATAGTCGGCCTTTGGAAGAGTAGTCAGTCAATAGAGAAATTCTTAAAAAAATCTTCTCTTAGTAGACCTTCGTCGAGGTTCCATTGTGCGTACCTTCAGTCCACAGAATCATGAAGAAGAATTTATTTATTGCAAAAGAAATACTTAAGTTCTTCTGCCGATCGGCCTATTGGAGGACCAAATGTAAAAGGTATTCTATTAATAAAATTCCTGAAAGAATTCTATAGACAATAGGAGACTTTAAACAAGTGAAAAAGCGTTAAGTTCGGCCGGGCCGAACTTTGGATACCCTCCACCATAGATATACTGACAGGTACTAGAAATGAAAATAAAGGGAACATACCAAAAAG